AGAATTAGCACTTGCCTGTTTGCACCGCAGTTTTAACATTTCTCACGACGTACGAGATTTAAATTATTGTTTTTTATTAGTAATTAACAAAATATATACTTTCACTTGCTGGAGCGAATTCAAAGTTCTTGGTACATATTTTTTACTGCTTGATAATATATTTTCATAGAAAATTCCACAGACTGCTGCGAATATTAAAGACCTGACTAGCGGTTAAGATTGTTAAGAATTCCATGCGCTCTCGGATTTTTCTTTGTTGAGGGATTTTCGGGCAAGTAGTAAACCTGGTTTTAATGCTACATTTCTTAACATCTTCGATCCGTCAGAAACAAAATTGCAGTTGCCGGACACAATCATGAAACTGGACATCAAATCTTGTTACATAAAACTAACAATCTCTGAATTCACATTGACTTCAAAGGGGTTCTGTCGTCCTTGAAAAAATTCTGCCCATCGGCACAGACCCCCCAATATCAAATATTGGGTTGTTCGGAAAGTCATTTCGTTTTTTTTGGGGAACATGAAAGACAGTTTTCGTATAATGAATAAATATTTTATGAAATTATATATTGGCCATTCTGGTCCAACACCTTTTGCCATCTTTCTGGCAGTAACATAATTCCCCTCTCATAAAAGTTTTGGTCCTTGCTGGCAAAAAACTGGTTCAGGTGGTTTTTGACATCTTCATTTGAGGTAAAGGTTTTGCCATCCAAAAAATTTTGCAGGGACCGGAACAAATAGTAGCCGGAAGGCGCCAGATCTGGAGAATTTGGTGGATGTTGCAGTACGTCCCATTCAAGCTGTAAAAGTTTTTGGCGAGTGACCAAACTTGTGTGAGGTCTCGCATTATCCTGGTTGAACACTACACCCTTCCTGTTGATTAATTCGGGCCTCTTCTCTTTAAGTGAATCATTCAATTTGTCCAGTTGATGACAATAGACTTCTGAATTAATCGTTGTATTATCCGGCAAAAGCTCAAAAAAAACGATTCCTTTGACATCCCATCAAACGGAGAGCATCACCTTTTTTTGGTGAATGTTGGCTTTTGACACGCTTTGAGCCGGTTCATCTTTTCTGCTCCATGACCTCTTGCGTCTAACATTGTTGTATACAACCCATTTTTCGTCCCCAGTAATAATCCGCTTCAAAAATGGATCATTTTCTTGACGTTTGAGGAGCGAATCACACACGTCAACGCGACGACACAAATTTCGCTCCGTAAGGACATGGGGCACCCACACATCGAGCTTCGAGGTTAAGCCCATGCCTTTCAAATGGCCATAAACAATCGAATTCGACAAATTTAATCTCTCACCGATCTCTCGTGTGGTTATTCGCCGATTTGCATCAACTAATGCCTTTATCGCATCTTTGTCAGCTTCGACCGGCCTTCCAGACCGTGGTGCATCTTCGACATCAAAATTGCCGGATCGAAATTTTGCAAACCAGTTCTGGCACTGGCGTACTGTTAACACCCCTTCTCCATACACATCCGTCAATTTTTTTCTTGCTTGGACAGGATTTTTACCTTTTCTGAAGTAAAAAAGTAAAATATGACGAAAATGCTGCTTATTGCTCTCCATATTTAAAAGGGCACCAACCAAAAACTACTGCGTAGAATTAATAGAACTTTTTTACACACAAGCCTTGCAATATCAGCTCGCAAGACATATAATGGTTATGCGGCTTAAGTGTGAAGTTGGTTTCGAAAAAACGTAATTAAGTCCTCTGACGGGAAAAAACGAAATGACTTTCCGAACAACCTTATAGCTTTTCATTGGAAGATAAAGTTGAACTCCCGAATTCTTGCAAATCCATTCTTTAGAAACACAAAACCATACAGCAGAATTATGTTACAAATTCTGAAACTTTCTGGATGATGATGATGATGATGGATGCTAAAATAAGAAATTAGAGACTTTCACCAAAACTGCCAGCCGCCACAAATTGATGAAGACCGATTCATATTAAACTAACCAATGCATTTTCATCTGGTTAAACTAAATTGGAGGTATTGAGAAAGCCATTTTCGGAGTTAATTCATACGTTAAACAAATCCGAAAAACCGATCCTACATGAACCACAAGACCTCATACACTAATAGCATTTATTTGGCAAGTGGTTCACAAATCGTTTTTAGTAGTTAAAAAGCTGGAGGAAGACTTGGGTTAAATCAGCTTATGTTAGTAATGCGGTATCCAAATTCAAGGCAATGTGTCATGCATGTGCCGATGTACATGATTGTGAAGTTCCAGTTCGGCTAATACATCTGGTTTAAAATTTAAGATCCATTGCTTGAAAAAATATAAACAAAAGAGAATTCATAAGAAGTGCATGAATGTTCAGAACTGCCTTCACGCATTGACGATACCGACTGCATTGAGTGTGGAAAAAATTATTATTCAACCAAATCGCTAGACCTAATATATAGTTTGTGACAAGTGTTTGCATAAAATGTATGGAAAAAGAAAAATGGCCAATTGTTCACCGTGGATGTATTATAATTATATAGGTTGTAATAAGCCTCACATTAATGGTTTTGAGAATCTTTATTTAAAATTTTAAGTTGTGTCACAAAAACATTCATCTGTTTTTCTAGTAAGGCCATGGTTTAGTGATTTGTTGTTCACTTATTTTTAAATAAACCGTCAAGACACTTATGTTAATAATTATTTCCTCTAACCCTCACTACAACTACACTACAAAGTGATTTCTTCATGTTGCTTTCCTGATTTTAAGCGTCCTATGATATTCCGAGCCGAGATTTTTAAACGAAGATCAACTAAAAGCGAGTCCATCTGCTGCGCGATTTAATAAAATGGCGACGGCGCGTAACTGGGACAGAGTCTTTCGTCTGCCTATAATTAATATATTAAAGGAACCGGTTATTTCGCCATTTCCCTTGGGGAAACTAATTTTATATAGCGCAGAACGTCAAGATCGTACTTTGTAGCAGAGGATCGTATGCTAAGTTTCCGGTTTAAGGACAAAGTTTCTCGGCGATGAGAACTACGCAAAGCGAATTATGAGAATGCGACGATAGAGGGGAACTTTGAGGGGCCCAATTAAAAGGTGCCCCAAAAATTAATACCTGCGTCTGGCAGATCTACTTCGTAGTTGTAGTTTTATTCTATTCCGAGCAAGTTCAGTAAAATAAAAGTCGTGATACGATTAGACATAATGAATAAGGTTTTGAAATTACGTCAGTTTAAAGAAAAGGGTACCTAGGTCTATGCGTTTGGGAGAGCTTGAGTAATACTTTTGTCAGTTTTGCAGAATTACTTTCAGCTACATTTTCTCCGTCTATTCCGATTCTGTCTCTGAGTAATGGTTACATTCACATTGATCTCAGTTTTATTTAAAAATATTACATGAGTCCATTTGTTGAGCCGCTTTAAAAGGACAAAGTTTACCAGAAATACGAGAAAAGAGTCAAATCTGTCTTCTATTAAAGTGATTACCAAAAATTACTGCGTGAGTTGCACAAATCCTCGTCAGTTGAGTATTTTGTTGCTATGTCAGGAGTCCTTTATTTTTTGATTTTCACTTGCTCTTTGTGGATGACCTAAAGATATTCTTGTACATCACCAAACAGAATGATCAGTGGCGATCTGGGAACTTTCTGAAACGTAATGTTGCCAAATGCAAGTCTTTTTATCCAAATAATAGTCCCGTGTTGTGCGACTATACTCTCAACGGTGTGCCATTGGAGGGGTGCGATTCGTTCAGAAATCTGGGTGTTGTGCTTGACACTAACTTTGCTTTTGTTGAACACATGTCAAGAATAATGGCAAGCGCATCCAAGCTAGTCTGTTAGAAACTTGAGAGGTTTGATCAATATCTACGAAAATCTTACTTCTAGTTTAGAGTGCATTCAGTGTAAATGCCTAAAATATTTTCACTGTAAGTTACATGGATATTATCCTCCATGAAGATTTGATCAACTTTTGTTCCTCCCACTGTCTCTTAACATTGAACAGACTGGTTTATCTCCAGCCTGCTAGATAAAACCCCTTTTTTAATTTCACGCTGTAATTGACGCAGTTAGGACCAATATAATGGTCATATCACCATAATGCTGACTTGTGTGATATTAATTTAGGCTCACTGTGCAGCCTGTCCCAAATCCGAGGGGGACTATTGTATGATATTCGAAGTCAGATCAGTCAGTCAGAAAATTTAAAACCGCTTGAAAATCGAGAAAATTGTGATGAGTTTTGGAGAAATCCGGGAAAATCTGAAAATTAACAATTTCGTTCGTATTTTTTCCTGACTTAGTTGAAAACTGCAATTCTTTCACCCCTACAAATTTACATTTTCAATTTTTAAGTATGACGTTTTGTATGCCCTTCATCAACTTTATCTTTTTAAATACATTTTTTATTCAATATTTCATTCATTCTGAAAAATCACACTTAATAATTTACTAAACGCTAACGCCTCAAAATTTAAAATAAAGCTGAAATTACACAAAAAAAATAGATCTCTATTTTTTTTATTTGTTAGCCTTATGCTAATAATAACCCTCGAGGATCAATCAAACATTTTGTAAATGAAATGCAAATTCCGAAAATGCGAATATGGAGAATATTACATTGAAAACTCTACAAAATCCAACTCAAAACCTTAGACCCAGTGATGACATTAGTATTGTTTAGTAAACCGTTAAGTGTGAGCTCTTTGGAAATGTAAATAAAAATGTAGGTCTGTACTCCGAATTTTCATGACTTTGCGCCTCTATTTAACCAACTCAGGATCGCTTACCCCTTCGAAATTGGGACACCCTGGACACTGTTGTTTCTAAATGTAAATATGGCCTAAAGGACAATCAATTCGTTTTTCGCCTTTTGTTCAAAATGAAACACTACTTATTAAAAAAATGATTAAGGTATTTGTACACCATCGAATACAGAAAATAATTCCCACTGCAACATTTGTGAGAAGCAGGTGATGACGCAAAATCGTTAGAATGGAAGACATGCAGAAACTTCTAAACTTACATGCAACTTCGACTGTGGCGGCCATACTTTTGATGCTCCCCTTGCCGCTCCATGCGTGACACTCACACTTGAACTTCTCCTTGCCGAAAAACTCTTCGACCATGTCTCTGGTAACGTTCAGTTCACCCTCCATTATCCTGATCCCGGTTTGCGGATCGACAAATTGGAACTCCTCGCCCGCCACATTCCTCACGCCGTTACACTTGAAATATACTTGGAGCGCGTGCGCAGCTTTACACTGGAGTGTGGCAGCACGGTTTTTCACCACGTAAGCGTTTTGAGGTTCGGTGAGGAAAATCGGAAAGTCAGTGTTGAGGAGTAGCGACTCGTCCTGCTCGGATGTGGGTTTGACGGTCGACACTGCATCTTCCAGAAGGGCGCCGTCTGAAACAAGCAAGTTCGATAGAGTTTATTTTCAGGTAGAATATTTTTCTTTAAGAATAGACTTTATAATGTACCGTGCATTATAATATGCTGTATGACATAGACATCGCAACGCTCAGTATGGCGCACGCGGTCAAATTTCGGCGTAAGTTCTTTGATATTGCGAATACGGCCGGATGCAAATTCCGATTGGTATATCAGCGACCAAAGCGACCGTACCCGCTGCTTTTCCTCTTTTATTGCCCAATCCGGCGTTTTAATTTCCGCCACACCATATGGTGGCGCGGGCCGCGCGTTTTGTTCATTCCCGGGCTAGTAATTGGGAGGAGGGCGCTAAACGACGCTTCGATTTTTTTTAGAGGGTTTCGTGGCCATAAATTTACATTATTCGACATTTAAATTTCTGCACGAGCACGTGATAACGTCTACTCTCTTTTGGGATGCGAAAAAATCCCCCCTCCGCCCTTGTGTAAATGTCATTTTTATGTGTTTATTTCATCGCTAAACCTTTTAGTTTTGCAAGGAAAATATTTTCCAAAAACAATTTTAACCAGCTTTCCAGATTTTCAGAAAGAATTATATTCAAAAATTTTTGTCAGGAATTCTGTATTAACAAAATATTTTCTAAAAATAGAGTTATTATATTCGATCCTCTTGTAAACGAAGCAACGTTTAATGGCAACTCAATATTGGTTAGTTTTGGTTAGTTCCCATTATTCTATTGTTGAGTTGATAGAGAGGAGAGAACTATTATTTAAAAATTGGCTTAGCAACAATGCATACTGGTCAAATATTTAACGTCATCTTGAATTTGGCTTTTTGACAGTAATGTTAACTTATGGTGTCTCTTATTTCTGTTTACCTTTTATCGTTTTTTTATCCATAATAGAATGAGCTACGCAGTTTGTAACCTTTCGAACTGCCCGCAGTGGAAGTTATTTTAGAAATTCTGCTAAAAAAAATAATCACTTTTATTCGTCGTTTCATTGTTGGTTTAATTATTACAGTTTTCGAGTGACATTTGACAGAAAAAAGTGTTTAATTACGTTGTTTTCCGAAAATAAAAAAAATCTCAATCAGCAATAATAGGCCTATACCCTATAGAAAGTCATTAGAACATATATATTTCTCACTGCAGAATAAATATGTATTACGTTATAAATATTTGGGTATTTTAAAAATCGCTGCTCATTGAGACGACTATTCCTTTTTGTTGTTTTCTAATACTGGCAACGAATCAGGGTGATTGTGGATCAAGATGGAGTTTTTAAAATACTGGATTTCGCGATTTGCAGAAAAGTTTTGGAAAAATCTGGAGAACATTAAAGAAAAACAAGTACTATCATTTTAAAATCATGAAAATGCAGCACCTCACTGAGGAAAATAAGACTAATTTTTGTACGCTTATGTTAGAAAGACTAGAAATTGGCCATCAATAACTTGTTACGTACAATTGTACGTCCCTTTTGTACGAAACGTAGTCAATAAATGAATCTATCTATCTATCTATCTATTTATCTATCATAAGACGTTGAAGAATTTACAGATTCCACTGAACGAAGCTACCGAAATTATTTGTCAACAAAATGGGTCACCTTCACATAATGCTGCTTAAGTAACGGACTATCTTTACAATAAATATAGAGACACTTATTTTATGGGTTTATTTAAAAAAATAAATTTTATTTACTACGCAATAAAACATTTATGTAATAAAAGAGTGAATTAGAAATGAAATAAATAATACAAACACCAATCAGGGCTATCGACTATGTGTAGAAATGAACGGTAGTCACTTTCAACATTTGAAATAAATATATAATGTAGGTAACCAAGTATCTTTCATGATCATATTAATAATAAAGTAATTGTTTATACAATCGATATTAAATATTAAACATTGCGACAAATCGGTTACTGTCAAAATGGCCTAATAAACAATTTTAGTTTTAGTTAGTAAAGGATTAGTATACAGAGCATTCTATAATTCTTGTATGCATGAACATAACATGAAACATTTTTCGTCAAAATTACTCACATCCTCAAGGAGGACTCTTTCGTTTGAACGTCTGTGGTGAGGACAAAAGCCCAAAATGCGGTACGGTTGACAACCTTAACGCCAGGAGTCGCTGTATTTGGGAATCCCAAGAAGCGTCGTTAATCCTCAAACGATCCGACCCGAGTGGTATCGTTAAACCGGAATCTTACGACATGATTCTTTTAATTAACTTAAATTTATTTGATGAAGATCCTACCCCGCAGATATACTAACAACGTTTTCTTCGATGAATACTCATTCGTTGGTCAGCTGACTGCAGCGTTGCCGCTTCGCATTTTCTTCGGTGTTTAAAACGATTCGTCGGATGCTCTCAACTCTTACCGTGTGTTTCACAATTCCGTGCAAATATTTTCCAGACATACTTAACAGTCAGGAATATCCACTAAACGGATTTTTTAAACAAAAAGTGATGCCCTGACTCTCCAAAAAAAATCAAGTTAATGATAAATGTGCCCTTAAAATATTTGTACAGAATTTTACTTTGTACAATTGTGCAGACTTTTTATACCCTGAGTAATATAAGCACCTCCTGGATAAAGCATAATTAATTAAACGATAAAGAATAGGTGTCAAAATAAAAAATAATCAAGTTATGAATATGTTTAGCAAATCGATAGATGCAATAAAATAACCACCATGGGAGAAAAATTTAAATAGTTGTATTGAAAATATTTTATAAGGATCGGTAGAATCGACAAGATGTTTTAGATAGAGGTAACGGGGTATTTATGTCGTTGTTAGTTGCAGACTGAGTGGTCAGGAGTTGAAATAATTTACTTTTTTTTATTAAAGAATGTTTTCCGGAAAAGGAACAGAAAATAAACCTGGAATATTTAGGAACAGGGTAAGAATAAATAGGTTAAGAACACTAGCAATTCTGCCGCATTAGCTATTCAATTAATAAAAATTTATAGTAAATCATTAGAAATCGCATTCTTTCCAATAAGATGGAAAACAGTTCCTGTAATTTCCATATCTAAAAAAGATGTAAAGAATTACCGCCCAATTAGAATTCTCTGCACTTTTGGTACAATTTTTGAAACGTTTGTTAATATGTCCTTCCAATTTAAAAGACAAATTATAGACGAACAGTAGGCACTTGCTAAAACTAAAACCATTGATTCCAATCTAATATGATTTTAGCTAGGCTTTCGATAAAATAAAACATAAAATCTTGACTCGGAGGGCTGCTGTGGTCAGGGTTAAATTCTATTCAACAGATAGAAATCAATATTTAGACGTACAGAAGACAGCCATCTTGGACCTTTACTTCTTAACATTTACATTAACGTAATAAGAGTTCAAGGCGATCTTTTTAATTCTTCATAAAACTAGAAACTCAAACCCTCTAATTTTTGACTTTAAACTTATGAATACATCTATGAAACGTTTGTAAATAATGTGAAAAACTCAATGCGTAGCTTGGGTTGCATTGTCAGATTCAAAAGGTTTTGCTTCTTATAATAAGATAACATCCCTCTATGGCAGAAGAACTTTTGCAAATTTACTTGTCTTGGGGTCAAACTTCTGCTTTAGTCAGAATGGTCAGACTTTAAAACGAGCACTGCAACAATTGTTTTGAAATGCAAATAAAATTAATCTTTTTTTGTTGCATTCATAGTTACACAATTTTTTTTATTCCCATTTTGGTTTAGTTTAATTTCAGCATATTGAAGTTAATACTTGTTATTTATTTTTGTTATCCATTAATATTACAAATTTTCCTAGAAATTTAGAAATTTTTAACCTTATTTCTCTATTCAGGCGATACTTATTTTATATCTTCCTCCTAGCTCTTGAAAGTGGCTTGCATAATATTAATATTTTGCACTTAAGTCAAGTTTATGCTTAGTTATAATTTATAGTGTCTTATGTACAGTACAGCATATCATTAATCTATAGATACCAAACTAAGTTTTGCAATTCAAAGAATTGCAAAGAATTTCAAGGCCCAAGTCATAAATATATAACGCCTATGCACGGTCCGATTTTGTAATGTAAACAGAATTGAAAACATTTAAAAAACGTTAATTTTTGTCATAAAAAGAAAAATTATAACAGTTTTGTAAGAAGATATTTTTGCTTTATCACTCAATTAGTTTAAGAATCAAACAGTAAGAGCTTTTACCCAAAAACTAATAATCGTGGAGAGAGTACAGTATGCAACATGTAGATAAACTCGTCACTAAACTGGCATTTCTCAAACTTGTTTTATAATAAATTATAAAGTATTATGTTTCAAACTGCTTTTACAAACATTTTGTAGTTCAAAATTTACTTAGTATGGTTTATCTCCTTATTTCAACATTGAAAAGCTAAACAAAACTACTGTTCCAGATCTGACATTGAAAATTACAGTATGTGCTCGAGACTTAGTGAAACGATACTGCCTTATTATTTATAAAAAAGATGCATTTGAAACTCCATGAACTACTAAGTCAAATATCAATTTCACTAAACTGGTTGGAGGACAAGGTTCTTTCTCTTCTTTCGATTTCAAAATCCCACTTTACTTTTGGAATTGAACACAAATTCGCAAAAAAAAAAACAAAAACGTTATATCAGAAAAGAAAGCAATATCAATATGAGGTGGATATTTGAGTTATAAATTTTTTTTTGCAAAGAAACTGACACAGACTACTATATCTTTTTAAATTTTAAATCAAATGAAATCATTGGTTTTGTCAGTATAACAGTCAAAACTTTTAATTCAGGACACATTAGATTTTTCGCTGATAGATCAGAGTAATCCAATAAAAATCGTAAACACAGTTACTCCAAATACCGTATGTGAGGCCAAAATATTATTATTATTACAAATAATAAAGTGCAGAAAAGAACATATTATGCACATTGATAGTAGCATGAGAATGTTATACATATAATAGCATATTATGCAACAAGTGCGGCAAACGGCATTTGACTCACGAGTTTATTTGAC